TAATAGTTAAGGACCGTTTATAAGATTGTTTTGTTAATATGCAATAAAAAGTTATAAAAGAACAAGAAGCGTTTGTGTGGTGAACTGAAGAGGATAACGACCAGTCCTGACACTGAGGGTGCATTTAAATCCTGTAAATGCTTCACTTTTGTTTTGGAGGGAATATTTGAATCCCTTCATGTGATGTGTCATAGCAATGAATGGGGCTTCACACATGCACATATATAAATTCACACACCAGAGATACACCACAATGTCTCTGTGGAGAACAGGTCGGTGTTTGCATCTGCATAAAAAGAGCCAATTTACTGGATCAGAGCAAAGACCCATCTAGTCCAGTGGCCAAGCAGGAAGCACAGACTCACGAGTCCACTCTTGCTGATTGCCTTCTAGCAGGTGGTAGATTGCCCCTGAACCAGGGTATTCTATATAGCCATAATTGAGAACAGCCATAGGCAGGCATCTTCTCCCTACCTCAATGAATTTGTGGACTCTTGCTTTCCAAGCCTCCAAGTTTATTGGCCCCATCACAGTTTGTGCCTGTGCATTCCACAAAGCAATTAAGTACTACATGAAGAACCTTTTCCATGGTCTGTAATTTCCCCATCAACGATAGTGGATTACCCAAAGTTCTAGTATTAGATGAAAGAAACTCCCCCTCTAACCACTTTGTGTTCAAGCCCTTGATCATCTGGGCTGCTGCCTTCGTGTTCCTTTTAATACATGAAATTGTAAGACTTTGTTTGCAATTAGAAAGTTTTAAATATATTATGCCACCCACATTTCTGTTCTGTTTCTTCTGCAATGAGTCCGGGGGTGCCAACTTGAATAAAATATTTGGAATGGGGTAAGTCCCATCCTAGGGATGCGGGTGGCGCTGTGGGTTAAACCACAGAGCCTAGGACTGTGCGCTGCTCTGGTTCGCCAGAAGCAGCTTAGTCATGCTGGCCACATGACCCGGAAGCTGTACGCCGGCTCCTTCGGCCAATAGAGCGAGATGAGCGCCGCAACCCCAGAGTCGGCCATGACTGGATGTGATGGTCAGGGGTCCCTTTACCTTTACCTAAGTCCCATCCTGCACAATCGATCACATGCATGCAAATGGTATCATTTGAATGGCAATGCCTATCAATTTGGGGTGGGGGGTCTGGACTCCTTAAATATTTTCTGGAGGGTGGGGGCTGAAGGGACCACGGCCCCTAAGAGTTGACTCGTATGAATGAGTCCCTGTCTTCTTTCACACACACACACACACACACACACACACACACACACAAACAATAACGTTTCTGGTATTTCTGATTAAAGGCCTCCTTTCCTCCTCCTGATCTGTTCCAGATCCAGGCAACTCCAGGGCTTCATAAGGAGGAAGACTAATAAAGTTAACCCCTAAGGCTTAGAGGAAGCTAAGCCAACTGAGGTCCCATCTCAGTTCTGGCCCCCCTCCGGTGGGCGCCATTGCCATTATAAGAGAACAAGGGAGGTGTTCATGGTGAGTTCAGGCACCTCATTTTCTAGAAAAATAGCACTGGTAATAATAACAGTCCAAAGCAGAGTGACACAAATAAATTGTCTAAAGAACAAAACATAGAAACTCAATGAAAGTTGGGGAGAGAATTTTATTTTGAAAATGTTCACAAGATTTTCATGTAAACCCTCCTCCCCACAAAGTGGCCACCTGGGCCACTTGTTGTATCTCCTCAGTGAGCGGTGGTTGCGGCCTGACACGGGGCCTCCCTCACTGCTCAGATGCAACACACCATCTTGAGCGCAGCACGTCTCCCTCAGCTGCCGTGGGGGCTCAGGGGTTCCCGCCAAACCTGCTAATTCAAATGAGCCAATCCATGGCAGCCTTAGGGCTGATGAACGGACCTGAGAGAGGCAGGCTTCACTCAGGTCCGCTCGGCAACTATAATTCCCAGCTGACCCTGCCCTCCTTGTTGCAGCAATCCCATTGCTAAGGCAAGTCAGGGGGGAAGAGTGTCACTTAAAAGTTCAGTTATGAGGCACTAAATGGGAATAACATTTAAAAGATACTCAACGGTATACTTTCGAACAGGAGAAAACAGCAACAGCAATGTTTCCCAAAGTATAGTGAGGGGAAAGAGAAGAAACCTTTGTTTAATGTGTGTGTGTGAGAGAGAGAGGGGGGGGTTAAAGATGACAGGAACTAGAACCACCTTGGCACAATAAAGTGAGGAGAACTGGTAGTCAGCAAACGTAGAGAAATGCTATACATAAGACAGGCTGAGGTCGCAAAGGCAGCTTGCGTCCATAAAATAAAAAATGGTGTGTGGGGGGAATCAATAAGCGAAAAGGGAAGGTTGCACAGCCGTGTATGCACAGAGAAACATGGTTTTTAAAGAAGAGACTAGGGCAAGGCTACCAGATTTTCTTCAATGAATCCGGGGACACTTTTCAACTTCCTACTAAACTGATGGATTGATTTGTAAATCCGGGGACTGTTCCCGGGAAATGGGGACGTCTGGTAACCTTAGACTAGGGAGGACTTGTGAATAAAACTAGATTTATTACAGAACAAATGGGAGTCATTGAGCAGAAATAAGGAGTTGTTGTATGACAAGACTTTACCATCTAAGTTTCCTTATATCCAGGGTTGCCAGATCTCCAGGGCTGACCTGGGGTATCCAGCCATTAATGCACCATAGAGGCTTGTTTAGGTCATGTGTGTCAATAGCTGCTTCTCTGAATGCTGTGGCTGCTTCAACAGTCAGTTCTAGCCCAGGAGACTCAGGTTCTGTCCACACTTTCTTAGCACTTGTATCACATCAGTAGCACTGAACCAAAAGTTTTTCATTTATATTTCAATACAGAAACACACAGACACAAAAATGCTTTTTTACCACTATATCAGAATGAAGAAACAAGAGCACCTTAAAACTTGAAAAGAAATTTGTTCCCCTTCCTATCTGATCCTTTTTGGGGCTCTGGAACAGAGAAACACACACTTTCCCTTGTGGCACATTGTATGGCATTCCTCTTTAATCTCTTTCACCTCCACACCTTCAGTCTCCATCCATGCCTTGAGTAAAATTCATGTTGTCTGCAGAGCCCATGGTTGTGTGCTTCTGGTTCTCTGCCCCAGACACTATTTTCTTTAAAACGTGTCTCCCTTTTGCACTGACATGGGCATTGTGACAAACTGCATACACATGAGAGAAAGCAGTTTCTCTTTCCAGTGCCAATGTGTGTTGGATGTGTGACCACAATGCAAAAGCAGAGAATGACTGGCTATTGTACAACATCCAAAATTGTCCCTGCTTTCTTGGGTGCAGGGTTGGTGTCTTGTGCCACAGCCATCTCAAACTTTCTATATTATGGGCTGTGCGGATGGTCTTCCTTTAATGGCAATTAAATTATGGTCTATTTTTAACTTGTGCTTGCTGGACTCCCACTTGATGGTTCCAGAGAAGCGATAACGGTATGCCTTGGAATGCCACTTGCAAGAACATGGATGTGAAAGGACTATTGCAATCATGTCTTGCTTGCAGGCCTCTGATTGGGACATCTGGCTGGTCACGGTAGGAAACAGAATACTGGGCCAGATAGACCTCTAAACTGATGCAACTGGGCACGTCTTATGTGGTTATGATGGTTGTTGCTAAAAAACCAGAAAGGAATTTCCCCCTGCTCCGCAGGTTTTGCCTTCCCCATAGCAACTGTCACAACTTTGGTGGTTTTAGGCCTTGGGCGAAATCCTTTAGTCTATCTTCCCTAAATGGGGGGTGGTGTGAAGTGGTGACTCACCCCCCACCCCGTGCGGCGGTGATTCCAGGGTTCCCTGTTAAAGGGGTTTGTGTGAAGGGAGTCACTGGCCATACACTGAAAGGTTGTCAGTTAACTCCCCTGGGTTGCACAGAAAAGGGCCCTGGCTTGCTGCGTAAAATAAAAGTCTTGCAGTGCCCCCTCCCCGGATCCAATTAACCCTGATGTGCCTCAGTCCCCCGGCTGGGAGGGATACACACCCAATGCCTAAGCCAAGGTCTTCCTGAAAGTGTTAATAAAATTGTGGCCAATGTAAATCTCATAACACTTCATGAGTTAGTCGTTCCTTCTGGTGGTCTCTCGGGGGTCAGGGGGTCTCCGCCTGGGCATGCAATTAGCACTGATAGAAAAATTAACCACAAAACCACAAACATTTTGGTAGCTATGATTGCATGTGGTAACTGGAACTGCCACACAGTTGCAAATACAGCAGTTTAAGGAATGTACACTCCAAAGTAATCTTACCTCACATCTTTGCAAAAGGTGGGAGGGTGCTTTTTTGTTCTACTACAGTTTCTTGTATTGTAACTTGAGAAAATAATTTTAAAATATTTTCTAAAAAGTGTGTCAAATGACTCTTGTTGGTCTTGCTGAACAGTTTCTTTATGAGCCAGAACCCAAATGCAAAGACCGCTGACTAGTTGGCTGCCTTGGGAATGGTAACTGTGAGTTACACACAAGGTCGCTATGCAGCTAACCAAGACTCCAGAGGCTGATGCTCTGAGTCCAAAGGGAGCCCAGAGCAAGAGAGCATGGCTGTCCAGGTAAGCAACTCACAGGTGTTCTCTTCAGCGCAGAGGGACTGGCCTTTATCCTGAGGGCTTTGCTTTCTAGAATTTCAAGCCATAACACTTGCGGAGCCCTTTTCACAAGGACAGAGAAGCATTGGATAAGAAGCATCAGCTATCACAGGAGGGAGAAGAGAAGCAGAGGTTGTGCTTTGCAAAGAAGAATTGGCTTACAACTCTTGCAGAGGCCCATCTTTTCTCTCTTTACACATGTACATTTACATCTGTGATATTACACAGGTGCTGTTGATAGGAACAGCAGTCAAAGTAGATGGTGCACAAGGGGACAATTCCTCTTTCTTACCATTGGGTGACAAAGTCCAAAAAAATAATAATCAATGAGGGCTACAACTTTAAAACAGAGTTTTAATGTGCAAAGCAGAGCAAAAATGTCAGTTCGCACAAAAGTGCTATACAAACCTAAGCCTAGTGGGGCAGTGTAACAGGACCACCATTTTGTTTCTTCAGTGGTAGTCCTGCCTGGCTTGGGCAAAGTCCCATATACCTAGAAAAAGAAAAAAATGAAAGAGAAGGAGATTTGGCAGGATTTTATCTTAATGCCCAATTCCCTTTAATTCCGCGACCTGAATTTGTGAGTATGTGACTGAATCCCATAGGTAATATAATAATAACCTGGAAGTGTCCCTAATTCGTTCTCTGAACATCCATCTCTGACAAATAGAAAGGGTCCCTCCAGAATGATGCGATTCCACAACGTGTCATTGGCACAACAGTGCATTAGTGGTGAATTTGTTTTTGACTGCCCATGCATCCTTCTGCTTTTCTAATTGTTCTGTGATGTTTCCCCAGTCTTACCACATTATTGCCATATGGAGGGACACAACAAAAGTGGGAACCCCCCTAAAGAGTCTCAGAAAACTTGTGAGATGAAAATTTACAGGATTTTAACAGGAAGTTGCAGGACATGCATGAGCTGGAAACAAAGGAGTACATGAGCCCCAAAACATTTGCAGAAGCAAATGCTATTGATAGCAGGATTGAAAATAGTTGTGAATATTAAATAAGAAGGACGTCCAGAGAGTCCATAAGAAAGATAAATGGTAAATTACCATAGTCCTTTCACAGAATATGCAGCTCTCATAGAAAATAAAAAAAGGAAGGAAAGACTCTTTAGTCCCTTTTCCAATGAGGGTGTAAACGTAGTGGTGTAGACCACTTGGTCTACCCAACTGCCCCTGCACCTCTTTTCAGTATGTCAGCCAAGGAGTGCAAAAGCACTGGGGTCATCCACATTTGTCACCAGACTGCTGTCTTGTGGGTTAGATGTGCAACCCATAAGGGAGTCTGCCGATTCTTGGCAGTACGAAGAAGAACGACATCAAAATACCAAGTTTTGGGGGGGAGAGAGGTTTTCTGTCAAAGCAGTTGCTCCAATTGTACCACTGATAACCCAGTCTGCCACAGCTGAGTCTCTCAGGCCATAGCCCAGGGGTAGGGAATTGGAGGAATGCTGTTGACATATTATGTCTTGATTTATTAAAATAAATTTTATTAAGGTTTATAATGAAAGAGGAAAATTTTAATATATTTTCTCTGTTTTAAAACTAACTAATAATTTTATCTAGATACAATAAAAACATGCAAAGTGGTGGTGTGTGTGTGTGGAGAAATTGAGAAGGAGAAAGAAAGAAAGAAAGAAGTTAAAAGAGAAAGATAGAAAAATAAGATTCAGAAAGTAAAGTACTTCCGATTCTTCATCTGTCTGCTATATAAAAACAATATTCACTTCATCCAACCCAATATCACATCCACCACTCATAGTATATCTTTTAATAAAAAATTTATTGATATTTTTATTGAATTTCTTTCAATTATAAAGTAATATAGTGGAACCTTGGCTCCCGAATGCCTTGGGAGCTGAACAAACAAAAAACCGGAAGTAATTGTTCCGGTTCTTTGGAATGTTCTTTGGTAGTCGAACGCCCGGCACGGCTTCCGCAGCTTCTGATTGGCTGCAAGTAGCTGCTGCAGCCAATCAGAAGCCCTGCCTTGGTTCCCAAACTGTTTCAGGAATCGAACAGACTCCCAGAACGGATTAAGTTCGGGAACCAAGGTTCCAGTGGAACCATTCCACTGTAAAGTGATACAAAGAGAAAGAACAAAGAACACAACACACAACTGTGTAAATGGGAAAAACATTGTATTAAGATATAAAAAATATATATCAGCCTCTTGGCTACCATTAGAGTGCATAAAATCTATTTTTGTTGTCCCATTATTAACTTCCATATAGTTGGTAAATGATATCTCTTGATTTCAGTAAGGCTTTTGAAAAAAAACAACACCCATTATATTCTTGCATAGAAGCTGGTGGACTGAATGAGGATTCTGTTAGGTGGATTAGTAGCTGGCTGGCTGACCAAACCCAAACGGTTCCTCATCATCCTGATAAAAGGTAATAAGTAGGGTACCGCAGGGTTCTGTCCTGGGCCCACTGTTGTTCAATGTCTTTATACATGACTTGGACGAAGGAATTGTGGGGATGTTCATTCAATTTACCGGTGGCACAAAACTGGAAGGAGTAGCTAATGCTGGGATGCAAGGTGACCTTAACAGATTGGAGAACTGGGCCCCAACTAACAAAGTGAATTTCAATAGGAAAGAATAGGAAGCAGTCGTTTCAAGACCAAGTCTCGCTGTGCTTAGAGTAAAATAAATCCAATACATCTGCTTCCATTTTAAAACACTTTACAGTGGTACCTTGGGCTAAGAACTTAATTCGTTCTTAACCTGAAACTGTTCTTAACCTGAGGTACCTCCCACTGCCGCTGTGGTGCAATTTCTGTTCTCATCCTGAAGCAAAGTTCTTAACCCGAGGTACTATTTCTGGGTTAGCGGAGTCTGTAACCTAAAGCATCTGTAACCTGAAGCATCTGTAACCTGAGGTACCACTGTACTTTGGCCTTGAAGGACATTAGAAGCTATGCAGAAAGTTTTCAGGAGAGAGTGGAATGCCGAAACCCAGAAGTACCAGAATGGGTTACTTCCGGGTTTCGGCGATCAGACATGCACAGAAGCGCCGAATAACAACCTGCGCATGCGCAGATGAGCGTTGAGAACCCTGCGGGTTGCGAATGTGCATCCCACATAGATCACGTTCGCAACCTGAGCATCCACTGTATATACTTAATTAGCAAATTCAGCTAATTTTGATATTCAGAAATACTTTAAAACCTCCTTGAATGTTTCTGGTGTTTGTTCCAACCTGCAGCAGGAGGAGAAACACAAATAGAGTTACATCTCCGATATGGACCATGATCAAACATCCAGGGAAGCATCCTGGCTCTTTTACCACAATATCATACATATAGCAGCAGTCAGCAGCTGCCTTAGCATGGCTGGGGTCTAGCATGGGCTAAGGCAATCGTGCTCAGACTGTTGCATACTTGCAAAATCTTTTCCTGTGGCGTTTTGCCAATTCCTCTGACAGGTACTGGCAAGAGTCTTGAACTAAGACTGGACGGACCAGGGTCTACAGCCACACTAGGCCTTGAAGCTAAATGGGAATAAATGGGAGACGTACTGGAAGCCAATGCAGATCTCTCAGGACCGGTGTTATGTGGTCCATAAGAACTTAGACACCCCAAATCTCCGCCTCCCCTCCCTTCACCTCCCTTCATTGTCGCTTTCTTCACTGCTGGATGAGGAGCTGCTTCTCAGAATCACTGGGGGCTCTCTGTACGCCCATGCCTCCCCCACCCTTTCGAGTGGCATAGCCCAGGCCTTCGCCCACTTTGTATAATCCACCTCCCTGGCGTCGGGAGGTGTGAAGTTGAGGAAGATGTTGTTGTTCTCCTTCTCCTCCTCCTCCACCGGAGGATATCCGTCTTCAAAAATTTTTTCCCAAACCCCCCAAATTGTATCTGACTCCTCGGAACGTCGCTCCACATCAGAGGTCTCAGCAACTTCATTCCCCGTTCCCTCCTCCTCCCCAGAGGATTGGAATCCCTCAAAGGTCCCCTCGTCGTCTGTAGATCCGAACACCTCTGTGAAAAACCTCTCCGGGGGTTTGGGCTTGTCTGGGAAGAGACTGTGGAACTCCTCTATGAGATACGCCTCCGTCACCTGCTCCGCAGGAATCCACGCGTTTTCCGAAATGGGAGCATCCTCCCAAGCAACTAGATATTCTAGTTGATCTCCGTTCCACCTGGAGTCCTGTATCTCCGTCGCTTCATTATATTGTTCTCTTTCTTCTACGCTCGGTGAGGCGGGCTCCTCCTGCTCCCTCTCCAGGAAGCCGTGCCCCTCCCTGTAAGGCAACAGCAGTGACCTGTGAAACATCGGCTGTATCCTCATGTTATCCAGCAACTTAGCCTAAACGCTACTGGGTTGACCTGCTGTGTCACTTCAAAGGGGTCTACCCTCCTAGGCTGCAATTTCTTGCACCCCCCTCTCAGGGGCAACCCCTGAGATGACAACCACACCTTGTCCCCCACCTGGATGACCTCCCCTGGTCTCCTATGTTTGTCTGCCTCCTTCTTGTACGCCTCCTTGGTTCTCTCCAGAGTTTTCTTGAGCTGTTGGTGTATGGCCTCCATCTCTTCCACAAATTGCTCTGCGGCCGGTATACTCCATTCCTCCTCCTCCCGCCCTGGAAAGGCCCTGGGGTGACACCCGTAATTGGCAAGGAAGGGACTCATCCCTGTGGACACGTGTTCAGCATTGTTGTACGCAAACTCTGCCAGTGCTGGCTTCTCCACCCAATCATTCTGCCTCTGATTGACGCAACAGCGCAAGTACTGCTGCAAAATAGCGTTCGCTCCCTCCACCTGTCCCTTAGTTTGTGGGTGCCTTGCTGTCGAGAAGCTCATGTCTACCTGCAACAAACTCATGAGTTTGCGCCAGAAACGTGAGGTGAACTGTCTTCCACAATTGGATCTTACCCTAGAAGGGACCCCATGCAGCCGAAATATGTGATCCATCCACAAACAACTCTGCTGTCACTACATGAGAGCATGCCACAAAGTGACACATTTGGGTCAGCAGATCCACCACCACCATAACTGCCATCTTACCTCTGGACAGGGGCAGGTCCATCATAAAGTCTATGGATACCACCTCCCATGGCCTCCCAGGCGTTGGCAAGGGTTCTAGCAACCCCGCCGGGGCCGCCCTTTCCCTCTTTGCTCTCTGACACACGTCGCATCCTCTTCCATAATCCCGCACATCCTCTCTTACTCTGGGCCACCAAAAATCTGCACTGCTACCCATGAGCAACCACAAAGACTCCCGGAATGCTGTCAGATGTGCAGGTGGTTGCTCGTGAGTAACCAAGCAAGACTCCGACATGTCTTTTTCAGGTTTTATTGGTGCAAGCTATTTACAGTGCACAACTCCAAAGTTCATGTCCGTCTTAGTCACTTGCAGATTCCAGGAGTGCCCCTTTCCGGTTTCTCCCCCAGCATAATAATAATAATAATAATCTGGCTGAGTTTTCCCAGCCACTCTGGGCGGCTTCCAATCAAGTGTTAAAAACAATACAGCATCAAATATTAAAAACTTCCCTAAACAGGGCTGCCTTCGGATGTCTTTTAAAGATAAGATAGCTGCTTATTTACTTCATATCTGAAGGGAGGGTGTTCCACAGGGCAGGCGCCGCTACTGAGAAGGCCCTCTGTCTGGTTCCCTGTAACCTCACTTCTCACAATTAGGGAACCACCAGAAGGCCCTCAGCGCTGGATCTCAGTGTCTGGTCTGAATGATGGGAGTGGAGACGCTCCTTCAGGTATACAGGACCAAGGCCATTTAGGGCTTCAAAAGTCAGCACCAACACTTTGAAATGTGCTCGGAAACATACTGGGAGCCAATGCAGATCTGTCAGGACCGCTGCTATGTGGTCCATAAGAACTTAGCCACCCCATATCTCTGCCTCCCCTCCTTATGTTTCACCACTCTGCGCAAGCAGAGCGACGGAAGGGGCGTTTGTGGTTGAGGCTTTCTCCATTGCCGGATGAGGAGCTGCTTCGCAGAATCACTGGAGGCTCTCTGTACCTCCTGCCTCCCTCCCCCTTTCCAATGGCAGTTCCCTGGCAGACTTTAAGTGAAGAAACTTACCCAGTAGCCTCTTCAGAAGCCACACTCAGACCTGCAGCAGGAGGAGAAACACAAATAGAGTTACATCTCCAATATGGACCAGGATCAGACATCCAGGGAAGCATCCTGGCTCTTTTACCACACTTAATACCATACATGTAGCAGCATTCTGCAGCTGCCTAAGCATGGCTGGGGTCTAGCATGGGCTAAGGCAAAAGTGCTCAGATTGACAGACGGTTGCATACTTGCAAAATCTTTTCCTGTGGCTTTTTGCCAATTCCTCTGACAGGTAGTGGCAGGAGTCTTGAACTAAGACTGGGCAGACCAGGGTCCACAGCCTCACTAGGCCTTGAAGCTCACTGAATGCCGAGTCACTGCCTCTCAGCGTGGTGGTGGGAATAAATGGGGGGAGGAGAACTATGTACCACCCCTTGAGGACTTGGCAGAGCAACGGTTCCACAGTAGCTTCACTTCTCTTGATGACATCAAAGTTGATGCATCGCTCCAAAGGGGCAGAAGACCTGCTTGGCTCAGAATTGGGGATGGGCAGCAAGGATCGGACACTTTAGCAGCATGTTTCTGTCCCAAGAACCAAGAATATGGCTAAGCGGCTAAGGATAGGGGTAAGTTTTCCCTCATGAATTTAAGGCTTGCACCACATAATTCATAATAATAAATAAGAACGGGGGAGGGCGAATAGGGAGCGCGTGTTTCAAGACCAAATCTTGCTGTGCTTGGGGTAAAATTATGCAGTTACATCCACTTCCATTTTAAATCACTACTTTGGCCGTATAGGACATTAGAGGCTATACGGAAAGTTTTCAGGCATGGAAAGAAACCTCAGGAAGAAGAACCCCAAAAAGAAAGAAAGAAACTTCTGCTGCCCATTCCCAGTTAGTCTGCTGCAAGGAGCTGCATAATACCGAAAGGAAGGAAGGAGGAAAACAGAAAAAAAGAGAATGTAATGGTTATCTCACGATATTGAAACTTACCGGTCGGACTCGGCATGGGTGTTTCTGGCCTTGGTTCCTGAGGCTGTATATTGGTCTCCATGTTCAATTCTGCCTCAGACCTTTCAGTACCAGAGATTACAACAGTGGGCATCGGTCCTCTTGTTGAAGGAGTGCTTATTTCCTGGTGGGGAACATCTAGGATTCCAGAGTCTGAGGCCCTCTGAGATGTAGAAGGATGCAAAGCTGAATCATCCATTGCACAAGCTTGATCCAGTTGAGATGTTTGGGGCTGAGGACTAGAAGATGTCCCTGGCAACCTGATAAAAGAAACATCTTGTCAGGCATGCAAGGTAGGGAAGACATATGTGGATCAAACCGCCACTTACTCCTCCATGCCAGAAAAGAAGTTAGGCTGTGAGAACAAACCAAATAAAATAATTTCTTTATAGACACAGGGCAAGAATTGAGCCATAAGTATATATTGAGTCAGTGTTGCAATGGACAACTGTCTAGTGAAGAATGGCTTTTTAAGGGAATCTTTCTGGGGTGCATGTGTTTGGAATTGCTATGCCCTCTGTCAGGGAACTGCCATCGGAGCCAGGGGGAGAGGGAGCACTCCAGAGGGATTCCGGAGAGCGTCCCGGGAGGGAGAGAAGCAGCACATCTTCTGGGGAAGGAAATCAGCGTAGCACCAGTGGAGAAGGGGGGCAGATGGGGGAATCGGCGAGGTGGCTCCATGACTCTTCACCGGGGACCAGCGGGGAGAGCACGGGTCCTCCGCTGCCCACACCCACCCTGTGCAGAAGGCTTCCGTGCAGGGAGACTAGGCGGAGACTAGGCGTCAAAGAACTTCTTTGCTGGAAGAAGTTCAAGAAACGCCCACTGACGGATTCTGCCAGCGATTGAGACAGCCACTCGCCCGTGTCTGTCCGGACAGAAAAGGTTCACTCAGGCAACCCAGCCAGGTGTGGCGCCGATTTACGCACGAGCAACCCCTAGAACCATTACAGCAATCCGTCAGTCACTGACGTTGCTTGTGCGCAGCCCCTGAAAGGCAGCACGATAAGCCAAACAGGAACAGCCGGAGAGACGGAGCAGCCAGCTGCGGTGCGGAGTCTGGTCGAGAGGAACCGAGACTTGGAGACGCATGTAGCTTTCCTGACGGCGCGGCTGGAGGAAAGACGGGCTCAGGATGCACAGGTCAGAACCACCCCCATCGCAAGGAAAGTACCGGGGCTGGTACACAAGTTTGGTGGAAAGCCCCAAGACTACAATGCTTTCCGAACAGAAGTGCAGTACGCTTTGGAGCTGCAGAAAGATGACTTTGCTGATGACGGGGAAAGCTTACATTGTGGGGCATCTGCAGGATGGGGCGCGCGAATGGATCAGGCCCCTAATTGCGATGCAAAATGATGCCTTGAAGGACCTTAAGAAATTCTTTCAGGGAATGGACGCGATGTTCTCCAGCGAGGTGGAGCAAAGCGTGACAAGGCGGGAACTGATGGGGTGCAAGCAGGGGAGCCAGTCCGTCAGAAACTACTGGTCGCGTTTTGCAATGTTAGTCCACCGGCTCGGGTGGGATCTGGACTCTGAACCGATACAAATGTTGTTTGAGGCGGGTCTGTCCCCCGAAGTGAAAGACGAGTTGTCCCGAGCACCCCGGCCACGGTCGATGGACGAGCTCACAAAGGCTGTGCTCACGATAGGCGTACGCCAAGAAGCGCGGGCGCAGGAAAAGCGGGAAATGAGAGAGGAACGTTTCCATGACTACCGCATTCCAGAGATACCGAGGGAGCCTTCCCAGGCGGCGGAGCCAATGGAAATTGATGGCGCACGCGCGCGAGAGAGGTTTCAAACTCCGGTGAAGGTCGTAAAAGGGAGGGAAAAGGGTGGAAAACTACTAAGAAGTGTTTCCTCTGTCAACGACCAGGACATTTTGCTAAGGTCTGCCCTCAACGAAAGGCCTGGCAAGGGATGGTGGGGGCTGCAGGCCTCGACGAGAAGGGGGAGGAAGGGCAGGCGCAGGGAAACGACAACGCCTGGCTGCCAACCAGCAGGGGCAGCAGCCAGGCCAGCAACCAATAGAAGTGCCCCACCCTGACCCCCCCAAGGCAGCTATAGCCATAGAAGTGGTGCTAGAACTTCCGAATGGGCACCCTGTCAAAATTAAGGGACTGCTGGATTCGGGCAGCTCGTGTAATTTCTTCAGCAGAGACTTCACTCTGGAGCACCAAATCCACCTGTTGCCTCTAGATTTTCCCTTGCAGGTGACAACCATCGATGGCAGGGAACTTCTGGGAGGGGAAGTGACACACCAGACCCCGCCAATGCGAATGAGGGTTTCCAGGCACATGGAGACCATTGCCTTTCACGTGGCCACACTGGCAGGACCCCCAATAATACTGGGAATGAGCTGGTTGGCACTGCATGATCCCGTAGTGTCATGGCATCAGCGGTCAGTCACCTTTGGGTCAGCTTACTGCTTAGGACACTGTCTGGGAGGGAGAACCCAAGAATGACGGTGGTCAGGGTGGCTGGGCTGGCCGTGGAACAAAAGGGGGAGGTGCCACCACAATATGCTGACCTGAAGGAGGTCTTCAGCGAGAAGGAGGCAGATAGACTACCCCCCCACAGGCCCTTTGACTGCCAAATCAACCTACTCCCAGGGGCTCAGTTGCCGGTGGGTAGCTGTATGCCATGTCCGACCGGGAGATGCAGGAGTTGCGGCAGTTTATTGACAAGAACCTGAAGAGGGGTTCATAAGGGAATCAAAGGCGGTGGGGGCAGTCCGGTGTTCTTTGTGGACAAAAAGACACTAATCAGCCTAGATTGGTCGTGGATTATAGGGGTTGAACCTGGTGTCAGAACCCGTGACCTTCCCAATGCCAAGGATTGACGACATTTTAACCCGGGTGAGGCAGGGGAAGATTTTACCAAGCTGGACCTCAGGGGGGCATACAATTTAATCAGGATAAGGGAGGGGGACGAATGGAAAACTACCATGTTCACCCCCCAGGGGCCTTCGAGTACTTAGTTATGCCATTTGGATTACAATCGGGCTCCGCCTGCTTTCAAGCATTCATGCACCATGTGTTGGGGCCCCTGCTGTACAAGAATTGCGTAGCCTTTTTGGATGACGTCTTAATCTATTCGGACAATGAGAAGCAACACGTCAAAGACGTCAGGGAAGTGCTACAGAGACTGCAGAAGCATCAGTTGTGGGTCAAGCTGGAAAAATGCCAATTTCACGCCAGGGAGGTCAAGTTTCTGGGGTACAAGTTGTCAGACAAGGGCCTAGCTATGGACCCAGGCAAGGTGAAGGCAGTGCTGGAATGGAAAGCTCCCAAAACCCGGAAGGATGTGCAGAGGTTCTTAGGGTTCAGCAACAGGAAGTTCATAAAGAACTTCGCTCACTTGACAGCGCCCATAACAGATTGTCTCAGTAGCAAAAAGAAGTTCGCGTGGACAGAAAGTGCCCAGCAATCCTTTCAAAGGCTGAAGAAGGCGTTCGCTTCGGAAGAGCAGCTCCTGCACGTGGATCTGGAGAAGCCCATGAGACTGGAGACGGACGCGTCCGACCAACCGAGCTGTTGGAGTGGTCCTTTTGCAGCCCGGGGCCAAGCAGGACTGGAGGCCATGTGCCTTTTTCTCAAGGAAGCTGAGCAAGTCAGAGCAAAACTACACAGTGTATGACCGAGAACTGCTTGAGATCTATGCAGCGTTTCGGCAATGGAGACATCTGTTGGTAGGGGCGCGGCACAAAATCCAGGTTTGTACTGACCACAAGAACTTGGAATACTGGCGGACCACGTGGGTGCTCAACCAAAGACAGATTCGATGGGCCCAGGAGTTCGCCAAGTTTTCCTTCGAGATCAGATACGTGCCGGGAGAGGAAAATGTAAGAGCAGATGCTCTCTCCCGGAAACTGGAGTACCTGGAGGGAGAGGAACCACCAGAGATCCGACACGTGTTTCCTGAGGATCGGTGTGTGTGTGGGAAAATGTTGGTTGGGAAACGAGAACTGGCAGGGCTTACTAGAGACGACGTGTTCGCTCAAGCAAAAATCAGGGAACTCTGGGACGGAAGGGAAGACCATGGAGGGTTTGAGGAAAAGGAAGGGCTACTGTATTATAAGTATTATAAGGGGGCACTGTATGTACCAGGGGAGACCTTGAGGGGGAAGGTACTTAAACAACTCCATGACAACCCAACAGCTGGGCACTTTGGACAGCACAAGACCATGCTGCTCGTCACCAGGCAGTTCTGGTGGCCAAAAGTGAGGGAAGACGTACGGGAATATGTACGGGGGTGCGACCGATGCCAGAGGGCAAAGGAAGAGGGCTGCCCCGCAGGACTACTGGAACCCTTACCTACACCGGGAAGGCCCTGGGAGGTGGTGTCCATTGATTTTATGACAGATTTGCCCAAGTCAAGGGGGAAGACAGCAGTCATGGTAGTAGTCGATCTACTGACAAAAATGTGCCATTTCATAGCTTGCTCACACGCGGTGACGGCGGAGGAGACAGCCAGGTTGTTTATGGATCACATTTTCAGACTGCATGGGGCTACCTCGGGGGTAATCTCGGATCGCGGGAAACCATTTACTTCCAGGTTCTGGAGGAAGCTCATGAGCTTGCTACAGGTTGAGGTGAGCTTCTCGACGGCGAGACACCCAGAAGCCAACGGACAAGCAGAAAGAGCGAACAGTATACTCCAGCAATACCTATGCTGCTACGTCAGCGAGAGACAGAACGATTGGTAGAGAAACTAGCCTTGGCTGAATTTGCGTACAATGACGCTGAACGTGTGTCCACGGGAATGAGCCTGTTTATGGCCAATTATGGGTGTCACCCCAGGGCCTTCCCGGGGAGGGGGGAGGAAGCATGGAGTGTACCCGCAGCCGAGCAGTTTATAGAAGAAATGGAGGCCTTGCACCAGCAACTCAAGATGAACTTGGAGCAGGCCAAGGAAGTTTACAAGAGGCAGGCGGACAAGCACTGTCGGGAGGGGGAGGCCATAAGGGTGGGAGACCGGGTGTGGTTGTCAACCCAAGGGTTACCCCTAAAGGGAGGGTGCAAGAAGTTGCAGCTGAGGCGGCTGGGGCCTTTTGAGGTAACACAGCAGGTGAACCCAGTGGCATTCAAACTCAAGTTGCCGGACAGCATGAAGATACATCCGGTGTTCCATAGGTCCCTACTTTCACCGTACAGGTAGGGGCGGGAATTTCCGGGGCGGGAGGGAGGAGTCACCACTCACCCACAGGTAGAGGAGAGGGAACACTGCAACCAAGCCACGGAAATACTCGATTCAAGGTGGCGAGGTCGCCAGGTGGAGTACTTGGTAGCTTGGGAAGGAGAACCCAGGTCAGAAAACACGTGGGTTCCCGCTAAGTCAATCAATGATGGGTATCTGGTGGAAGAATTCCACAGTCTGTTCCCGGATAAGCCAAAACCACTAGCGAGATTCTGGGAGGAAGAATTTGGAACCACAGACGACGAAGGGGACTTTGTGGGTTTTCCTGCCTCCGAAGAGGAGGGAGGAGAGGTGTCAGAGGGAGAAGAATCAGACTGGGAGGTCCACCCTGAGGGGAGAGATCTGAGCGGGTGGGAGGCTGGTTTTGAATCCTCAGAGGATGGTGACAGCTCCTTCAGGGGATTCCCCGCATCGTCGGCTGAGGAAAGAGACGAGGTTATATCGGAAAATCGCGCCGGGGGTGGAGGGGGTCCTGGGGAGGAGGTGGATGTCAGGGAACTGCCATCGGAGCCAGGGGGAGAGGGAGGGCTCCAGAGGGATTCCGGAGGGCGTCCCGGGAGGGAGAGAAGCAGCACATCTTCTGGGGAAGGAAATCAGCATAGCACCAGTGGAGAAGGGGGGCAGATGGGGGAATCGGCGAGGTGGCTCCATGACTCTTCGCCGGGGACCAGCAGGGAGAGCACGGGTCCTCCGCTGCCCACACCTTTCCTGCGCAGAAGGCTTCCGCGCAGGAAGACTAGGCGGAGACTAGGCGTCAAAGAACTTCTTTGCTGGAAGAAGTTCAAGAAACGCCCACTGACAGATTCTGCCAGCGATTGAGACAGCTACGGGTGAGTGGCTGTCCGGACAGAAAAGGTTCACTCAGGCAACCCAACCAGGTGTGGCGCCGATTTACGCACAAGCAACCCCTAGAACCATTACACCCTCATATGCTGAGGCAAAACATGGGGAAACTTATCAATGTCAATTAAATGGCAGGCACGCTTTAAATTTGCAAGAAATGATTAAAAAACTTTTTATCAAATTGCAAACTTCCAAAAGAAAAAAAGTTGCATGGTCCCTCCATAACTTTCTGTTTGCACAAGGTAGCAGTGCACTGTTGGGAACACGAGGAAAGCTGCAGGCTGTGGAAGTGTGCATCTCGATTGGGCTCACAGTAAAAGTGACTGTACAGAAGCAGCGTCAATATTGTCCACGTCTTTTGCAAAGACTTTCAGTGAAGAAACTTACCAAGTAGATTCTTCCGAATCCACACTCACACCTGCAGCAGGAGGAGAAACACAAATAGAGTTACATCTCCAATATGGACCAGGATCAAACATCCAGGGAAGCATCCTGGCTCTTTTACCACACTTAATATCATACATGTAGCAGCAGTCAGCAGCTGCCTAAGCATGGCTGGGGTCTACATTGGCTAAGGCAAAAGTGCTCAGATTGACAGACAGTTGCATAATTGCAAAATCTTTTCCTGTGGCTTTTTGCCAATTCCTCTGACAGGTAGTGGCAAGAGTCTTGAACTAAGACTGGGCAGACCAGGGTCCACAGCCTCACTAGGCCTTGAAGCTCACTGAATGCCGAGTCACTGCCTCTCAGCGTGGTGGTGGGAATACATGGGGGAGAGAACTATGTACCACCCCTTGAGGACTTGGCAGAGCAACGGTTCCACAGTAGCTTCACTTCTCTTGATGACATCAAAGTTGATGCATCGCTCCAAAGGGGCAGAAGACCTGCTTGGCTCAGAATTGGGGATGGGCAGCAAGGATCGGACACTTTAGGAGCATGTTTCTGTCCCAAGAACCAAGAATATGGCTAAGCGGCTAAGGATAGGGGTAAGTTTTCCCTCATGAATTTAAGGCTTGCACCACATAATTCATAATAATAAATAAAAGCGGGGGAGGGCGAATAGGGAGCGCGTGTTTCAAGACCAAATCTTGCTGTGCTTGGGGTAAAATTATGCAGTTACATCCACTTCCATTTTAAATCACTACTTTGGCCGTATAGGACATTAGAGGCTATACGGAAAGTTTTCAGGCGTGGAAAGAAACCTCAGGAAGAAGAACCCCAAAAAGAAAGAAAGAAACTTCTGCTGCCCATTCCCAGTTAGTCTGCTGCAAGGAGCTGCATAATACCGAAAGGAAGGAAGGAGGAAAACAGAAAAAAAGAGAATGTAATGGTTATCTCACGATATTGAAACTTACCGGTCGGACTCGGCATGGGTGTTTCTGGCCTTGGTTCCTGAGGCTGTATATTGGTCTCCATGTTCAATTCTGCCTCAGACCTTTCAGTACCAGAGATTACAACAGTGGGCATCGGTCCTCTTGTTGAAGGAGTGCTTATTTCCTGGCGGGGAACATCTAGGATTCCAGAGTATGAGGCCCTCTGAGATGTAGAAGGATGCAAAGCTGAATCATCCATTGCACAAGCTTGATCCAGTTGAGATGTTTGGGGCTGAGGAGTAGAAGATGTCCCTGGCAACCTGATAAAAGAAACATCTTGTCAGGCATGCAAGGTGGGGAAGACATATGTGGATCAAACTTCCACTTACTCCTCCATGCCAGAAAAGAAGTTAGGCTGTGAGAACAAACCAAATAAAATAATTTCTTTATAGACACAGGGCAAGAATTGAGCCATAAGTATATATTGAGTCAGTGTTGCAATGGACAACCGTCTAGTGAAGAATGGCTTTTTAAGGGAGTCTTTCTGGGGTGCATGTGTTTGGAATTGCTATGCCCTCATAGCTGAGGCAAAACATGGGGAAACTTATCAACGTCAATTGAACGGCAGGCATGCTTTAAATTTGCAAGAAATGATTAAAAAACTTTTTATTGAATTGCAAACTTTCAAAAGAAAAAACGTTGCATGGTCCCTCCATAACTTTCTGTTTTCACAAGGTGGCAGTGCACTGTTGGAACCCGAGGAAAGCTGCAGGCTGTGGAAGTGTGCATCTCGATTGGGCTCACAGTAAAAGCGACTGCACGGAAGCAGCGTCAATATTGTCCACATCTTTTGCAAAGACTTTCAGTGAAGAAACTTACCCAGTAGGCTCTTCTGAAGCCACACTCACACCTGCGGTGGGAGGAGAAACACAAATAGAGTTACATCTCCAATATGGACCAGGATCAAACATCCAGGGAAGCATCCTGGCTCTTTTACCACACTTAATATCATACACGTAGCAGCATTCTGCAGCTGCCTAAGCATGGCTGGGGTCTAACATGGGCTAAGGCAAAAGTGCTCAGATTGACAGACGGTTGCATACTTGCAAAATCTTTTCCTGTGGCTTTTTGCCAATTCCTCTGACAGGTAGTGGCAAGAGTCTTGAACTAAGACTGGGCAGACCAGGGTCCACAGCCTCACTAGGCCTTGAAGCTCACTCATGTATTTAAGGCTTGCACCACATAATTCATAATAATAAATAAGAGCGGGGGAGGGCGAATAGGGAGCGCGTGTTTCAAGACCAAATCTTGCTGTGCTTGGGGTAAAATTATGCAGTTACATCCACTTCCATTTTAAATCACTACTTTGGCCGTATAGGACATTAGAGGCTATACGGAAAGTTTTCAGGCGTGGAAAGAAACCTCAAGAAGAAGAACCCCAAAAAGAAAGAAAGAAACTTCTGCTGCCCATTCCCAGTTAGTCTGCTGCAAGGAGCTGCATAATACTGAAAGGAAGGAAGGAAAACAGAAAGAAAGAGAATGTAATAGTTATCTCACGATATTAAAACTTACCGGTCGGAATATTTAAAGTCTCTGTGGACGTTTCTGGCCTTAGTTCCTGAAACCTACTTCGTAGATAGCTCTCCATTTCCAAATCTGCCGCAGACTTTTCAATACCAGGGACTACGACCAAGAGCATCGGTATTCTTCTTAAAGAATATCTTCTTTCCCGGTTGGGAACATCTAGGATTCCAGAGTCTGAGGCCCTCTGAGATGTAGAAGGATGCAAAGCTGAATCATCCATTGCACAAGCTTGATCCAGTTGAGATGTTTGGGGCTGAGGACTAGAAGATGTCTCTGGCATCCTGGTAAAAGAAACATCTTGTCAGGCATGCAAGGTAGGGTAGACATATGTGGATCAAACCGCCACTTACTCTTCCATGCAAGAAGTCAGGCTGTCAGAACAAGCCAAATAAAATAATTTCTTTATAGACACAGGGCAAAAATTGAGCCATAAGTATTTAATGAGTCAGCGTTGCAATGGACAACTGTGTAGTGAAGAATGGATTTTTAAGGGAGTCTTTCTGGGGTGCATGTGTTTGGAATTGCTATGCCTTCATATGCTGAGGCACAACATGGGGAAACTTATCAATGTCAATTGAACGGCAGGCATGCTTTAAATTTGCAAGAAATGATTAAAAACTTTTATTGAATTGCAAACTTTCAAAAGAAAAAAAGTTGCATGGTCCCTCCATAACTTTCTGTTTGCACAAGGTGGCAGTGCACTGTTGGAACATGAGGAAAGCTGCAGGCTGTGGAAGTGTGCATCTCGATTGGGCAAACAGGAAAAGCGACTGCACAGAAGCAGCGTCAATATTGTCCACCTCTTTTGCAAAGACTTTTAAGTGAAGAAACTTACCCAGTAGCCTCTTCTGAAACCACAGTCAGACCTGCAGGAGAAACACAAATAGTTACATCTCCAATATGGACCAGGATCAGACACCCAGGGAAGCATCCTGGCTCTTTTACCACACTTAATATCATACATGTAGCAGCATTCTGCAGCTGCCTAAGCATGGCTGGGGTCTAGCATGGGCTAAGGCAAAAGTGCTCAGATTGACAGACGGTTGCATACAGTGGTACCCCGCAAGACGAACGCCTCGCAAGACGGAAAACCCGCTAGACGAAAGGGTTTTCCGTTTTGGAGGCGTCACAGAACGAATTTCCTATGGGCTTGCTTCGCAAGACGACAGCCCATAGGGAAATCTCAGGGACAGCGGGAAGCGCAGCGCGTCTTCCCCATTGTCCTCGGACCTCCTCCGAAGCCTGGCGGCGGGGCGGGGACACCTCCTCCCGCCGCCGCCGGGCTCGGAAGGCTCCTCCGGCCGGGCGGGGGAGGGAACACTCAGCCGCCGCCGCCCGGCTTCGGAACGGTGCCCGAGCCGGGCGGGGGGAGGGAAGACCTCCGCCTCTGCCCGGCCTCGGAACGGTGCTCCGGGCCGGGCGGGGGAGGGAAGACCTTCTGAAGGCGGGCGGGGGCGAAAGTCTTTGCTCCCCTGCCTGCCTGTCCCGGAGGGCTTTTGAAGGCGGGGAGCAAGACTTCGCCCCCGCCCGCCTTCAGAAGAGGTCCAGCACCTCTTCTGAAGGCTGGCGGGGGGCAAAAGTCTTTGTCCCCCCTGCCTGCCTTCCCAGGGGCTTTTCAATTGCCCCGGACAGCGGAGAAGTCCTCCGCTGTCCCGGGGTGATTTTAAAATGCCGCCCGCCAGCATTTTAAGATCGCCCGGACAGCGGAGAAGTCCTCCGCTGGCCCGGGTTTTTAAAATGCTGGGGGTGGGAAGAAAAGCCATTGCTCCCCCAGCCTTCAGAAGAGGTCCGGGGACAGACTGTCCCCGGACCTGGTCTGAAGGCGGCTTCCTAGGAACGCATTAACTGATTTTCAATGCATTCCTATGGGAAACCGTGCATCGCAAGACGAAAAACTCGCAAGACGAAGAGACTTGCGGAACGAATTAATTTCGTCTTGCGAGGCACCACTGTACTTGCAAAATCTTTTCCTGTGGCTTTTTGCCAATTCCTCTGACAGGTAGTGGCAAGAGTCTTGAACTAAGACTGGGCAGACCAGGGTCCACAGCCTCACTAGTCCCTGAAACTCACTGAATGCAGAGTCACTGCCTCTCAGCGTGGTGGTGGGAATAAATGGGGGGGGGGAGAGAACTATGTACCACCCCTTGAGGACTTGGCAGAGCAACGGTTCCACAGTAGCTTCACTTCTCTTGATGACATCAAAGTTGATGCATCGCTCCAAAGGGGCAGAAGACCTGCTTGGCTCAGAATTGGGGATGGGCAGCAAGGATCGGACACTTTAGGAGCATGTTTCTGGCCCAAGAACCAAGAATATGGCTAAGCGGCTAAGGATAGGGGTAAGTTTTCCCTCATGAATTTAAGGCTTGCACCACATAATTCATAATAATAAATAAGAGCGGGGGACGCGTATTTCAAGACCAAATCTTGCTGTGCTTGGGGTAAAATTATGCAGTTACATCCACTTCCATTTTAAATCACTACTTTGGCCCTGTAGGACATTAGAGGCTATACGGAAACTTTTCAGGCGTGGAAAGAAACCTCAAGAAGAAGAACCCCAAAAAGAAAGAAAGAAACTTCTGCTGCCCATTCCCAGTTAGTCTGCTGTATGGAGCTGCATAATACTGAAAGAAAGGAAGGAGGAAAACAGAAAGAAAGAGAATGTAATGGTTATCTCACAATATTGAAACTTACTGGTCGGAATCTCCTTGGGTGTTTCTGGCCTTGGTTCCTGAGGCTGTATATTGGTCTTCATGTTCAATTCTGCCTCAGACCTTTCAGTATCAGAGATTACAACAGTGGGCATCGGTCCTCTTGTTGAAGGAGTGCTTATTTCCTGGTGGGGAACATCTAGGATTCCAGAGTCTGAGGCCCTCTGAGATGTAGAAGGATGCAAAGCTGAATCATCCATTGCACAAGCTTGATCCAGTTGAGATGTTTGGGGCTGAGGAGTAGAAGATGTCTCCGGCAACCTGGTAAAAGAAACATCTTGTCAGGCATGCAAGGTGGGGAAGACATATGTGGATCAAACTGCCACTTACTCTTCCATGCAAGAAAAGAAGTCAGGCTATCAGAACAAGCCAAATAAAATAATTTCTTTATAGACACAGGGCAAAAATTGAGCCATAAGTATTTAATGAGTCAGCGTTGCAATGGACAACTGTGTAGTGAAGAATGGATTTTTAAGGGAGTCTTTCTGGGGTGCATGTGTTTGGAATTGCTATGCCCTCATATGCTGAGGCACAACACGGGGAAACCTATCAATGTCTATTGAACGGCAGGCACGCTTTAAATTTGCAAGGAGGGATTAAAAAACTTTTTATCGAATTGCAAACTTCCAAAAGAAAAAACGTTGCATGGTCCCTCCGTAACTTTCTGTTTTCTCAAGATGGCAGTGCACTGTTGGAACATGAGGAAAGCTGCAGGCTATGGAAGTGTGCATCTCAATTGGGCTCACAGTAAAAGCGACTGCACGGAAGCAGCGTCAATATTGTCCACGTCTTTTGCAAAGACTTTCAGTGA